CTTGACTGAAGTTCAAGGTCCATTATTTTGTTTCTAACAGAAGATCTTGTGTCCTAAGAAGGCAACGGATCTAGAATGGACCGTACAGAACCAGAAAATATATACTTTTACATACAAGATATGTACAGCATTTCTAAAAAACTGCGCGGAGTGCCCATAATACCCCTAAAATCAGTGAAAAATGCACCTAAAAATTACATAAAAAGGACTGATAGTGGAGTGCTACTGAAATATTTTCACATATCTGACCTGAAGTTGCCATTCAGAAACCACCTTTGTCATATGTAGTGCCCTCTTTCTCAATAGTGGTCTCCTCCCAGCCTTTCCTCTGCCTCCTTCTCCTTTTCCTGCTCTCCTTTTCCAGTGCTGATGACTTGCGGAGGGACTTCTTCACACGCCATTGGTCTTCTAGCTCAAGCGCTGCCTTCGTGTGATTGCCATCAATGCATCCACACTCTTTCAGCACACTGAGCAAGGTGATAGCGCCGTTGTTGAAGTTGAGCACTGCCAAACTACTTGCCAGCTGAACGGTGTCGACGGAGCAGAAGCCTTCCTTCGGACGCATTCTCCAAATGACGTTGTTGAACGACTCGTTCGCATTCTGCGTTGCACCCATCTGGCAGCGCTCCAGCAGACTTCGTTCGGACAGCTGCATGTAGATGGGCTTCACGACTTCGAACACAGCCTTTGGGAGAGGGTTCTTATGAGGCCTCCGCGTGTGCCCACAGACCGCTGCCAAATATCGCACGCAGCTTCACTCTCCATACCGGGTGCAGATGCCGCTGTGTTTATGCTGCACTTGTGATTATCCAGCCAGGTTGAAAAGGCTTCCTCCGTGATTGCACCACTTCGCTTCTTCTCAGTCCAGATCTTACATTCGTGACAGTATCGACCCTTCACTGTGATGTCCAGTACACGGCCGCTCTGGAAGGAGATGCACGCGAACACACCATACAGCGACGAATATCCCCTGCGCATCCAAGTGCCGTCGAACGTCACTGCGACGTGGGTGGAATCTGTCATGGCACGCAACTCAGCTGCGGATTGAACCATGTCAGTTTCAGCTAGCTTTACGGCTGCAGCAAGGACAACTTCCTGGTGGCTGCGGTACGCTTTCTCCGTTACAGGAGCAGGAAAATTCATTACGCCGCAAAACTTTCGGAGTCCACCATGGCCACGTCCAATGCATCGCATCGCCAGTACAGATCGTCAATTCAGATCATAGCTCCTGCAAATTTTCTTGCTCAGAGACGTACTTCCACTGTGTCCACACAAAGCGCATTGAAGTCGCAGGGTCGATCCAAGTCCAGTGTCATGACAGTTACTGACGATCATGTCTCCCTTCGTGCACTTCCTACAGACAGTAAATTGATCCATCAGTTCCTGGAGACACTGTAAATCCACGATCTTGTAGCCAGAGACAGACTCCTCAACATCAGGATAGAATGCATCATCATCATACTCCTGGCAGCTATCACTGGACGACTCGTCTGAATCACTGTCACTCGAGCACACAAGCTCAGATTCAAATTCCATGACCATAATTATCACTAAGCCATTTTGGCCTCGACGAAATCTTCCGAGAGGAAGCGCTCTGCGCCGCTTCAACGGTGCCTTCTTCCACAACTGGTACAGAGCTTGACTGCTTTGGGCGTAGTATCTCCCTTTCTTCCTCCTATGGCCACTTCCAGAGCTGCTGGTGCTTCTCTTTCGGTTCCCCATGTAAAATAATTTAATTGTTCACTTTCACGATCACAAACAAAAAAACAAAGATTTTTTCCTTCGCGTGGGCGTCGTGGCGCTGCAGAACGTCATACGCGATCAAGGAAGCACGTGGCAGCTCTCCATGACTACAAAAACAGAAGCCAGGGTCGCTTACCTGGCGAAGTTGAATCAAAAACGCTTGATTTTGGACTAAACCAAAGTCACAAAATTAGGCAATTGTAAACATTTGAGTATTTACATTTGAAATTTATCTCGACATACTTTAGCTCATAACTCCACTTCTACTAAACCGATTACGCTCAAATTTGAAATTCTGGCGCTTCAAATATCCTAAGACAAGATTCCATAGCAAAAAGTTCAAAACTCAGAAATTCATTTTTTGACCCTCTGAACCTCCCGTCCCCCCTTAAAAAACGCACAGCTCGTCTGTTGCAAAAACGTGCAGTAAATATAACGTGATACTATAATGAAGTCATGCTCATTCTGAACCGATTGCTGAAATACACCACTGACACTATTCCCTTGAGTGCTAGATAAACGGCCGCAGGCATCACCTGCCGACTAGGCTGCAGCGCTGCCGTCCGTATCACTACTGTAGAGTGAATTCACTGGCAAACGTCTGCAACGGCTTACCATGTTTGGAGCGATGCGTACGCTGAAGCGGCACCTGCTCGTGGACAAAGTCGCATTCGGTATGCAGCCAGTCATAACACCCAGTAACATGCATTGCAGTGCCTGTCATCTACATGTACATGATGTCCATGGTCATGTACAAGACTACAATATTAATAGTGTAGTAGTATGTCAGGCTGTCTTGTCAGCCATTGTACATAATTTTTTACATTGTACATGTACTAGGTACTGTACTAGTATAACGTTTGGACTTACGTAGTCATTGTATGTAGATGTACAATGATATGTAGCTGTCAGTGTTTGATCAATGATCAATCTCATCAGTGTCATCACTCCTCATCATGATCAACACAGGACCACTGAGGTCATCAGCAGTGAGCCATGCTTTGCTTTCCCGCTGTCACGGCGCTGTGCATTGCCATTGCAATGTCAAATCCCTTTGAACGAAATAATGGTAAGCGTCGTCAGCAATCATTCCCATACATTACTTGTAGCACAAGGCCAACGACGATCAACTGACTTAACAGTAGATGTTTATCGTAGTTGTTGACGGGTCTTATCTTGGGAGTGTGGACCCCTACACTGCATTCTCATTAGAACTCGAACATAATATTCACATCTGGGTCTTCCGATTGTAGTTGCTCCGACTTGTTCATGACGCAAACCATTTCCTCTCCGAAAGCTCAATATGATCTTTAATTAAAATCAGTTTGTAAGTGGGCGCACGACTCGATAAGGTTCCGACTGCTCATGATCTGGTCCACTCCAGCGTCATATTTAACAGGAACTGGTATGCGTCCTTGGCCTTGATAAGACCATGGAGCCATAACTGCTGACACCTGCGCAATAATATGCGTCAGGGCTACATTTATGTGCAAGATTCCACACACTGATGTCTACGACGCTGCTATCTTTGCGCCCCGTCGCCCTTGGCAGGATTGGCGCCTGCGAATGATGAATGAAGCGTCTCGCGAGTGTTTGGGACTTTAGGGCTCGTAATAACAGAACCATGATATCGAGTAGCAGCACACACTGGAGAACGGAATGCTCTGTGCACCTGTACACTCATAGTGTATTCTCGAAAGCTACACAATGGCGTGAAGATACAGTCGAGAGATAACATCAATCCACTTTATAACAGTCCGTCACGTACAAAACACCTCTGCCCACTGGAAACCCCCGCTCACGGACCTCACATACATGTACTGTACATGTAGTCTCTCTCGTGCCAGTGCCACTCTGCTATTCGTGCATCTCTCTTCCATCGCGAATGCAAGCCCGTCACTACGCCTACATGTAGGCGTGCGTGCCCATCTCCCGGTGTAACCTGGGTAGATGTTAGTTGTCATTTTCCCCATCACCATGACACATCGACACTGACAGGGGAGGAGGAGATGATACATTTCTGTGCTTCAACATGCATGTAGAGGAGACGGCTCGATACAGGGACGTTTTGACAGCCAAATTTGTATAGACCCAAACCGATCATCAGCGTTGATTTTTCACTCGAAATATGTTTGTGGAAGGAAACTGGCATGTTGAAGTTTGCTCTGGGGCCAGAGTCAATCGAACTGAGCCACTCCTTTGTGTTGACCCATTGCCTCCAAGTTGCCCAATTTTTCGCTTCAAAAAAGTTCCAATCAGAGGTGGCTCCAAACCGGACACGTTTTAGAGTGCACGTCAAATTCACTCTGGGTCTGAAATTAGGTAATTGCTATCGCTCCACGACGGCCAGTACAGAGTAACAATAAGCCTTGTGTGTGCTTCCATTAGTTTTGATTGGTATGCGGTGCTTTATTGGCGAGAGGCGAGCCGCTGTTTACCTGCGACAAGAAGTTGATTTTTCGAAAGTCGTAAAACTCAAGTCGCAGTGCGAAGCAACACGTCAAAAACTCACCTGCTTGATATGGCGCTTCTGGTCATCGCAGAGCCATGAAATTTTGGCTCGGAGTATAACACATAGTAGTCTCACTGTGACATATGTTTTCTAATCAAAATACCAAGAGAGAAAGTGAATATTGAGTCCGTTCCGGTTTGCAACCGGTGTCCTATTTGAAACCGTCCCCTCTACATGTACGACTATCAATTATCATTGTCACAATCTCTCTCTGAAATCTGCAGTCTGGCCACGTCATAGCCTGTAGTGTAGGTGTCCGGGCCGAGCGCCCAGCCCTGGCCTGAAGCTCTGCACCAGGGACTGAAAGGACATGACAAAGCAGCGGAGACATGCTGGTACTGTACCAAGGCAGCGAATGCGGGCCGGACATTCGCAACACTCCTCAAACTGAACGCTATCACTAGTATCAGTTTATGGACCCGGACTGAATGCACTGCCATAATTATGTCGAGGTATGAAACGATTTTCGCCTCGTCACAGGAACCCCGACACACTACTGTCACGAGTATTCCGTTGACTCCCTGTCAATGTAGATCTACATTATGCATGACTGTGATAATTATGAGACGGCGTGAGGTTGTCGCGTTTGCCTACCCTGGTCCTCACGTTCACGAGTTCTGTGTCCGTGTGCGTCCCGCTAGCTGTGCGAACGGTGCAAACGCCTGCTGCACTGACGTCGCTTTACTCATGCAACTGGCAACCGCTTGAAAAGCACTTGGGTATAAATTGGTTTGAATCGTAGTGGTGAAAGCTCACAATGTGCGCACTCGGTCGATCTGCTAACCTTTTGTTTTATATCCAGCTGCAGTTGCCCGTTATATTTCATTCGTCTTAGCTTTTACTTGAAGTTGACCATCTAGTTTGAAGTCATCATTTGCCCAACCGGTAATCAGAGAGGTTTTTTCAAGTGTTCACTGTTCGCAGTCGGTTGAGAGAACACGTCGTATAAGGAAAAGCACACAGGACAATCTCTCCAGGCTGCTTCGTTTGGTTTTGTTTCTCAGCTGCTTTATGCTAGAACGGAGAAGCTGAATTTGTCCGTATTCCGGCAAGAGAAGTAAGCTTCCAGGAACTCGTACGGTGGTCAGTTACATCGATCCTACTCATCGCAAGGATTCGCAGTTCAAACGTGTTTATAAAAAGATGAGGCCGTCCACAACAGAGGCAATCCGGAGCGTAGCCGAAAGCCCCCAGTATTGCTGCTGTCCTCAGAGCGATATCGGCAGTGTCCGAAGTCAAGACCTTGTGTTCATGTGCGGCGCGGAAGTGACGACCACGGTCCCCAGATCTACACCTTCCACGAGCGGGGACGAGAACTTTGACCTCCTGGACTACACCCCGCAGGCACAGTGCCCGTCACCAGAAGTTGCAAGCGACGGAAGCGGCGGGGTCAATCCGTGCACCAGAGGCGAAATCACGTTGGTGCGGAGACCCAGCAAGCTCAGCCTGGGTGGTTTGAGCTTGTCGGCAAGCGGTCGTTCGCATTCGTTCGCGTTCAGCCCGGATCTGCGCAGGCGACCGGAGTCGTCGCATCGGCAGCGCAGCCAGAGCGACGTTATCCACATGGCCACATTGGCAGCAAGAGAGATGCGGCGAACAATGGTGAGAAATCGTTACAGAGCCTGTATCAGTCGGACACATACAGAGGACTGTACAGTATACTGTGTCCTGCAATTGAGCTCCATGTCCCCCATTACTTGACTTGCAGCAGAGGCAAAGGGAATACATGCGGGTAATCTCTTCCTTACAAATAGTACAGGCACCAGATATCAGCAGATATCACCAGATTTTTGCTACTTTTGACAGTGATGAAGTAATAATTATCACACTCTCCTTTCAGAAGTCATGAAAGAGAAAAGCGATAACTATGGTGCAATAAAATTTTTGCTCTGCAAAAAGGGAACCATTTTGTCAGCCATTCAATAGCTATGTGGGTTGTCAATAGGAGCTGGTGTTGTTTGCCAATTCGACATGAGCTGGTCTTGGCCAGCTTAGGATCCATGGAGTGACATAATCCCAGCATGAAATCAGTGACAGTGTATCTGCATTGTGTCATTGTCATCAGCTAGACGGTAGACCATCACAGTTTCCAATGTGAATCAGTGGCTTCTGGAAAGCATGCAGACAGCAGCCCTGTCTACAGTTATCTGCTAGGCTGTCAACAGTAAAAAGGCCTGACTGTTTTAGTTACTTAGCAGCTTACTCTCAAAAACAACACCACACTAGCAAGCCTGCAGGCATGTGAAGGTGACAGCTACATGTACATAATATGCACCTGCAGTAGATAGGGCCTGCAGGGATGGGCCCCCTGCATGTGTCAAGATTCTATACCCAGACACTGTCAGTCAATGTCATGCCTAATCCATGCCTGAGTCGTAATATTACGACTGCTGGCTTTGAGTAATACAGACACTGTACTGACCAATTATGGCCGTACCCCCATCGCATATGAAGTCATCCAACAACATCAGTCACTCTTCCTGTCCGTGGCATCAACCACTGTCTTGTTTGGGGCGCGGAGGGGCAGGCGGGCAGGCTTTTTTTGATGCATGCAGTCAACAGAAGAGTAGTCAACACCTGCAGGTGTTAATTTGTCGACGGTTTAGCGACGGCGAAAATTTGAGGAATTCAGTATTCTGCCTTGGGTAGCATTGCGCCAGTGAATGATTGCTATCTTGCAGCATCTGGTACTGCAATGGACATGTAACAAAGAGATCATCTGGCTCAATGTCATGCAATGGTGGGTGCGTATGCCCATATTTGCTGTTTCTATTGCCTGGGGCAAGATATATTGGAGAGGTGTTTTACCGGAAAGGAATATTTTAAACCTACAGTCGCACATGTCCTCCCGCTTCCAAAGTGAACGGTTTCAACACTACCCTACCATTTAGTCTAGTCTTCTCTGCGCACATTTAGAGCAACGATCATACTCGTAACACGGTCGCACTAAGTACAGCTGCTGACACTTGCTGAATGCAGCAAGGCTTCATAGCCAAATAGTCCATATTTGGTGGGTGAATCAGCTCGTGCATTGCTGGATAGTCCAATCTGCTGCCAGCACTGCACCCAAATGCCCGGGTAATTTACCACTTTACGAAAGTTCCCGCATGCTTCTTTGGTCTTGAGCTGCGTAAGGTGTACGCTGTCCGGTGATGGAACATTTTCCTCAGTAGTGATGCCTACACCATATTATTGACATTAACGGTTCTCTTTCTTCGGTTTGGCTTTCTTGTGTTTTGTGTATGTTCTCAGGAGGCGACGCAAGAAATGGAACGCACTTTACAAGCCAGTATTGGTGAGCTTGACGAAGCCCTGTCCCGTCTCAAGGTTGTCACGTCTGGCAAGCAGCGGGCTTGTTCGATGCGCGTTGCAAACGCGTCGTCGAACAGCGGACATCGGCTGAAGATGGCGCGCAGCGCGCGCAGCGACAGTGTGCAGGACGAGCCCGATACACCGCTGGATCGTCCGCTCACCACAGAGCCCAGGCATTTCTTCAGTACCTCGTCGTCGTTGGCACAGCACAGCGAGGACCTGGCAACGCCGTCGAGCAGCATTCACACCTGTCTTCTCCTGCAGTCGCCGCTCTGGCGGAAGGACAGCTTTCTGGAAGAGCTCTCCGACTCAATGGACCACAACTTCATTCACCACAGCCGCGAGCATGACAGCGGAGTTGCCGCTGATTTAGACTCTGAATCGGTGTCTGCATTTGCTGGTCTGATCGAGGATTTGGACAGCGATGATGATGAGACGGACTCCTCGCTTCCTCGCCTCGTTGTCCTAACAAATAGAGATCGGTCTCAGGTGTATTCACTGAGTTTGGACGACTTCAGGCACTGGCTTTTCTCACAGCAAGAGTCATGGTGTTAAACTACATGTAGTTGCTGGCAGAAAGAGGTTTACCAATGCTCACACAAACACTAGTATAGTTGTTATTTTCCCTGGACACATTGAAACCAGAGGCGATAACTACTGATGTCATTCTCCTGAACTCGAATTAGTGTCATTTTACTGCACGGCGATGTCATTCTATTGCAGAGTGGTGCTATTTCCGTGACTGCAGGGTGATGTCATTCTATTGCAGAGTGGTGTCATTTCACTGCAGGGTCACTTTGCTGGAGATTGCTGCTTTTCCGTTTAGTTGAGACTTGAAGTGAAAATCACTGCGAAAGCATACAGTTTATATTATGATTCCATTCACAGCACTTACACACTTCAAATTTCTCTTTCACACTCCAAATTTTCTCTTATGCCCTCTAAATGTATCTTCCACACTCCAAATTTTCCTGCGCACGCCTGATCACTGCGTAAATAGGCTGATATCCGAGTCACTGCTGAGAATATCAGATGTTGAATGTGCCACCCCATCTTGATAACTGCATAACAATGCAAGATAGTGATATTTGCAGCGTTCGTGAATGGCGCTCTCTTGACAATCATGATAAGATTCCCCAGAACCGTTCAGATGAGTACTTTACTCAGTATACATGTACAGTCAACTTCGCTTATAACGACTGCGGATATAACGACAATTCGCGAATAACGACATAATTTTCATGCCCAGAGCAAAGTCCCATCCAACTGTGACACACATAATGAGACTTCGGGTATAACGACACTTCGCGAATAAGGACACTTTTCTGATGCCCCGCCGAGTGTCGTTATAAGCGAAGTTGACTGTACATGTACATGACTGTAGAAAAGTAGTGTGTCGCACGGGATGCTAACTATCAATAGGTATAGGATGCTGCATTTACAGAACCGACACCAGCTGTGCCTTTTACGGATTAGCGGCGCTGTTTGTACTCACTCACTGGTCAGTTCCTTATAGCACAGCCATAAATACGAGGTGGAACAAAACGCATCATGCGCAGCCGCGAACAATTGAGAGCACTTCATAACAGCGCATTGAGCAGCTGAGCGTGCAGCATCTAGGAGGAAATGCGGCTGCCTACCAATAATGGTGAGAGGTCAACCAATGCATGTGGTGGGAAAATTAATTCAATGCAGGTCGGCGAAAACCATCACTAAGCAACTGGTCTGGGGGTCCTGATGATGGTGGTCAGAATGATTCCAAATCATTTTTGAAATCAATTTGGTCAACAACGGTACTAAAATGTTAACATGCACCGTATTTTCTTGCCTGCAGCTATCTGCCTCATTCACCCGCTACGGCTACACATGCTGTAGATTGACCGGATGCTTTTCCAACACGTGACAATCGAGATGCAGAAACCAGCTAAAAATAATCATGAATTCTATCAAGAGTACTCAGTACATGAAACGGGTTTCATGTACTGAGTACTCTTGATTCTACTAGTATTTCCCTGGTCACACAGCACCTTTTCCCGAATTGAAGGTTCGATGAACTTCTCGTGTGTTCTGGATGGCAGGGTGGCAGTCGAGTCAGTCAAGTCTCAGCGGTCAAGTCGGCGGGAAAAGTGCAAGCTGCAGTGTGGGAAGCGACCGACTTCCTCGTGCAATTATCGCCGAAATCGGTACCACGTTACCACAGCACCTTGCCTTCCATACATGTACATGTATCTCATACAAGTCATAGCATTATACGGTGTATGTACATGTACATGTAATTGCCACACATAGGCGAGGGGTAAAACTAGCTACTGCTGAAAGGCGTGAGCCTGAGGATGCATTGTTTGGAAAGGAAAAGTATAGAGTAATACTAGTATGATAAAAAAAGAGAAGGACAAAATGTTACGAGTTACTAGTATGATAAACTGTCCACCAACCGAATGTGTCAGTACTCCGTGTCAGTTTTGTGCCATTTTGTCGCACTCGCTGACTGTATCAGATCTGGTTACGTTGGTGGACAGTTTGTCATAACTCGTAACATTTTGTCCTTCTCCTTTTATTATTTTATCGTAATTAAATTGGCTCACCATCTGAGTAATACTACTAGTATACAAGCTGTTCTTCTGGCTTTATCGCACTTTTCAAGTACTGCTTTATTACATGTACAGAAAAACCTCTTTAGGATGAACACCAAGGGACCGATGATATTTTGTTTGCAATACCGAGAGTTCGTCTTATCCGTGGTTTCACTGTAGTCATGTACATGTATAGTGATGCTGAATGCAGTGCCAAGACGAACACGAAAGTGGAAAAGGTGAACAGCAACGCAAAGTAGAAAAGAAATTAGAAGCAGCAATAAACAAGGAAAAAACGACAATTCTCCGCAAGCGTGAGCAGAGGTTGCGCTTGTCTGCATATCGTCAGTTGCAGGTGGACATGTCCTCCCGGCTGGGCAATCAGCAGAAGCTGCTGCACGTGCGCTGGTGGAGTGTGCTGCTGACCCTGGTATGGGGTTTCAAGCTGGCTGACTGCTGAGCCCCGGGCAGAGAGTGGCTTCATCCTGAACAAGGTGGAGTTTGTCGACGCATTGTCAATACGATATGGCTGGCCCTTGCGGGACGTTCGTGCGTGTGTGGTACGGACCTCAGCGTCGATCATGCGGAAACGTGCCCTACTGGGGGATACCCCACTCTCCGGCACAATGCTTTGCGTGACCTGATTGCCGAAGCCATGGATGTGGCCATTCTCGATGTGCGAATTGAGCCTCCTCGGCTTCCACTCGAGGGTTAAAGCGCTCCCTGGTGCCTCGACTAACCGGCGTCCGGAGGCTCGTCTGGATATCTGTGCAAGGGGCTTCTGGTCTCCGCAGCAAGACGCATTCTTTGTTAGGGTGACTCATCCTTCAGCATCCTTGCTGTCGAGAGCGGAGGTTCTTGCTCCGTTAACCAGGAATGAGCAACAGAAGAATAGAGCCTACCTGCAGAGGGTAATACATGTCGAGAGAGGTGCATTCACGCGCTTGGTTTTTGCCATCAATGGCATATGCGGCCAGGAGTGTTCACGTGCCCGATTTGCATTATTCAAGTGTTATGGCAAGGTAGAGGTGCTGTATTTCTTTCTTGCTAGTATTGAAATGGTTTGTAACTTGTTTTCGCGGAGGCAGGGCTTCCTATTTGCGCCGCAGAGCCTAACCCTCATCATTTCTCGATCAATACCGCTTGCACAATGTGTAGGCTGACTGCATCAATAACAGTGTGTTCTGCGTCTTTTGAAGGCATGCTTGGTAATATTATTTTTTGTTATTAATAATTATGATAACGACCTACTTCTTGCGCGGGGATGTCAGTTGAATAATTATCCTATCCACGATGGGGATTAACCGTATTGCGTGACCGATCCTTTCAATGTTCTAATCTTTACATTTCCTTTTCTACCTTGACTCCTCCTTGGTTTCCCTTTTCTCTCTAGCTCTTCTCTTGTACCTTCTTGCACTTTATGTGAGACTTTGAATAAAACAAGACTATTATCTAAAACGTAGATGCTACTATAATAATTGTACTTCCGAATGTACTACTATGATGTACTTAGTACAATTATGTCAAAAACTGGAACTCACAAAATAAATAGAAAGGTAATAAAAAAAAACTTCAAATCAATTTTTGCTTTATTTTACACATGCATTTTTCTGATTTCTTCTCCAGTGTATGATTTATTGCATTTTAATCCATTGTGTTAATTTGCCCGTAAAAGAGGCCGACAAAACATTAATAATAAAAAGGTAATACATGTAGCATGTACGGTACATGTACATGTAGGTGGGAGAGGCACAGAAAGAGAGAACACTTTAAAACTTGAAGATACATGTACCAACAAGAAACAAACAAGCAATATTAGACGTTAGTTATACTGTCATATACATGTACATGTACATGTGCACATGTATTATGTCGATTGAGCTGGTCCTTTTCGATCGCGATTCCTGAACTGTTGTCGCCTCGTTGCTTGTTTTAATGTTCTTCTCATCAAAATCACTGTTCGTCTGATAACTGATGATCGATTCAGTTCGTGAAACTCAGAGTTACGAGACAGCAACTGATCGCTCTTTTTTCTGTGCATTCCGCTCTTTGACTTCAGCAAATTGAGCCCTCTACGGTGGATGAACTTCACATGGTGGTTTCAAAATAATCTATCCTTTTATTCAAAGATGAAACTCATTAAATCATGCACGCCACACTGTGACACACACACATAATCCTGCGGTCCGGTGGGATGTCTATTCTAGCACAATGTGACATTTTTTGCTCCTAGAATCGATCTGGCAAACATCAATATTACATGCATCACTTTAGCAATGTACGTGCACAACTGTGTACATGTAGTGCAGTACTACATGTATGACAACTCGAGTCATGCCCGGGGCAAGTCTAAGGTTGTCTACTCTCCGTATGTTGTGTGCGCGACTGCGCGTACCTTCCGACTCTGAGCTGGCATAATAATAGCCTCCATGGCCATACACGTACAATGCAGACTGCCTCCAGGCAGTCCAGGGTAATTATGTGCGTGGGCATAAAGACCGCCATGACTGCGATTATTGAATACACCACACTCGCATACGTTTTCACACTGTGGTCTGTGAATAGCTGGTTGATCTAAACACTTGTTGTTGTCATAATGCAGTTTCACTTCATCGTCGGCATGATGTACCAGTACTGTGCATGATGAAAAGTCAATGCCTAATAATGTGTTTCGGCTGGGCCATGGGACGGACTGCGAGTCTGAAGTGACCACCTACATGTACATTCCAGAATGACTGCCTAATTAGCCCAGTCCAAATACAACATATAACGTACATGTAGTTACAGGAGTCACGGCTTCGACATTCCACTTTTAAAGTAGCGTTACTGCAGCAGAGAAACTGGGGAATGTGTTTAATTAAGATCACAGTCAAACACAGGATGAAAAATGCGAATTCATTTACTCAACTGCATGTACATGTACATGTATAATTATGGTCAAAAACTACACTGCTTCGAGCCAAATCTGTTGGCCACGACGTCCCCAAAGTTAATTATGTATAAAACAAATTGTATCCGCAATCCCCACTGATTTGTGACCACAGTTTATTAATTGTATTGATCGCAAAAATTTGCAGTCACGTCAGTACAACTGCTTATGTTTGTAAACGATTCAGAATACACAATGCCAGTTCGTATACTCAGCTACACTGTATAACAATAGACCAATCCCGAAAAGATTGTCTGGGTTCGAAAGGGGGCATGTCAACTGAGAGTACATTGTACAACACATACACGGCACTACCTGATCAGCATGCGCACAGGACGTGTTTGATAGTTCGCGTGTGAATGCGAGGGTTAGTACACGATTTTCTCGTTAGTTGCATGCAAGAGAGACGATGCGACAGAAAGCGAAGCCCTTTGTAGTTTTCTCTCTCGCACTGGTAATGGTCTGCTGTTGGAGTTGAAATGCTAAGACATAATCCTTGTTTCGCTCTTCTGTGTAGTGTGAAGAGGTCAACGAACATGTAGAGCTCACTTTGATGAAGTAGGCAAGGCTGTGAGCGCTGTGGCTCAAAGCGATAGGCCCTAAATCTTACGAGATATTTCGAGTGCTATTGTTTGTTGCGAGCGCTTCGTCTTCGATGAG